AAGGAAAACTTTTGAAAATAGGCCACATTTGTTAAATATTTAGCAAAATCGATCATTTTGCTAAATATTTAACAAAATCGACCTCTTTTTGGCCTGTTGGCCAAAAAGATGTCGATTTTCAAAAAAGTGCCTTGAAAACATACGGGACTACTAGTCCCGTATGTTTTCAACGCACTAATTAGAGATTAGAAAATATACGGGACTACTAGTCCCGCTAGTCCCGTATATTTTCTAATCGCTAATTAGTGTGTTGAAAACATATGGGACTAGTAGTCCCGTATGTTTTCAAGGCACTTTTTTGAAAATCGACCACTTTTTGGCCAACAGGCCAAAAAGATGTCGATTTTGCTAAATATTTAGCAAAATGGTCGATTTTGCTAAATATTTAGCAAAAGTGGTCTATTTTCAGAATTTTTCCTTAAAATAAATTTTCAGTCCATACCGTACATAGGCTTTGGTCATGTCGAACTTACAGAGTGAAGAAGCATTTCTTCCCATTCTTTCTCTCCATGGAATGAATGGGTTTCGTGGCAACTGCAAGATTGTCAGATATTTGACTGTCATAAACAAATGCACTTTGCTTTTCAGAAATAAATTTCGGCGAGTAATGGCGTCAGGGCGATGTTTATTTACAGTAGGAGTCATATTGAAACCTTTCGAACATTCCGGTCATCTATTGTGGGTAAATAAGAAAATATAATTAAAACTTACTAAATCATTCTAATGACTTAAAGACGATTCAAAGATATTGTATTAATTTCAATGTAAAAAAAATTAAGAACATTTTTAGAAAGATAGTTACATTTAATTAGTATAGGCATAACGAACATTAACTTTTTTTTCCCAACAACTTCGGTGCTCCCTAAATCAAGATTTTGAGATCCAATGCGTAAATATTTACCAAAAATAGCGCTCTCTCTTTTCCTAACTAAATCATGTGTCGTTACTGTTTCATTGTGTGGAGGTTACGTAGAGTTCCGCTGGCAATATTTGTAATTTGTCTAACTTATCGGTGTCATTCGCTGTCAGTTCTTTTTCTTTCTTTCTATTTGTTCTCAAAACTAAACAACACGAATCTTCATCACCATGCACCGCCCGCTCCACGAGTTCCCCTCGACTGCCATGAACAAAATTAGAGAAAATAAAAAAAATTATTGTTTTAAAAAGAAAGGAAATTGCTATTTGCTTGAACTCAAGTAGGAACTTCCATCTGATTTTAGAGCAGCAAAACATTTAGGTGCCGTTTGGCAAAGGATACTTAGCCCCTACTTAACCGGCTAAACATAAAAAATCTACACAAGAGTTGAAGTCAGTTAACCATTTATTATTTATCAAATGCAAAAAATGCAGAACAGTTAAGCTAACCCCTCTAAATGGATTAATATGAGCTAACTCCTCAAAAATAAGGGGCTTACTAATACTCTTATTTAGAATGACTAAAAGTTAACCGCTCTGATTATAAAGAAAATAGTCAAAATTCTTATTATTCATGAACACTAAAAATGATCATAAGGGCTAAAATAAAACTTATATAATTAATTAATAATTTAATCCTTCCGGTTATCAAATGTGCTAACTATGTTAATCATTCTCTTTAATCCCTCTTCCTTAACCCTTTGTCAAACAAGATCTTAGGCGCGTTTTTTTGTTTTGTTGCAGAACTCGTTGATTCCACTATAATAGACGCCTAATGAATTAGGCTCCGATCTGGAATTAAATCACGAGTCTTTCCCTTTACTCTAATAACAAAAAATTCTTGTAGAATATCACGGCATCAGGCATTGCCGGCAGCGCGCCAGAGTGATGCCAAGATGGAGAGCGGAAGTGAAAGGGATAGAAGATTGCTTGGATTGCGGATAAAATTTCAATCTGATGGTTGGGAGATTATAAGGGCTATAAGAGTAAATAGCTATTTTGCCCTTATAATAAAAAAATAAAGAAAATACCTATTTCCGGAGCATAGAAACAAACTTTTTTTTTTGGTTTAAATTGACTACCTGGAAATCGCAGGATATTCAAATTGAACCAAATAAATGTAACTGCCTATGCATGCAACTATAGTTGCAGTAAATGAAGTTACATGCAATTAGCACTTACATTGTAAATACAACTACAACGAACCAAACGCCCCTATTATTAAGTCGTTTTCAAGCAATTTCTCTCATGTATCTTGGCACCTAACACCTCTGGTTCCAAGATGGACTGGTACAAAATATCTTGGTATTTCTTTTGAAATGCAACTCACACAAAAAGAGGTCAGATAAAACCTTAAACAGATGGACTCGCAATTACTGATAATTTAACTGACAAAGGTAGCACAAAACCAGATCACTCCACAAGTTGTATAACACAGCAGTATCACACCCAGCAAACTTTTAAATGCAAAACACCAGTACGAACATATATGCACATCATTTTCACGACGGGCTCACAATTACTGTGTCGCATATAAAAATCTATGAAGCGAAAGAACTAGTGCCAAACTCATCATTTCTTTACAAGATAGTAAATTGTAAAATGCTACCAACTCGAGTACCAGAGAGTAAATATAACAGGCCACAGAAGAAAAGAAAGGCATATTTCATATACATTTGTTCCGCATTTGATTTATATGAAATCATCAGACCCTGGGAAGTGTTGAAGATCAGGATGAACACCGCCACCACGACCTGGACCCTGTGGAGGGTTCCTATGAATAATCAAGCAGGAAATAAGCAACATATTAGGAGAGAGATGAAGTTCGACTACAGCCACTTAATTTGCAAGACAAAACCTTCAACTGAAAAAGAAAACTGCTTTTATCGAATAAAAAGTTGGCGAACAAGAGAACATCATCTGCGAACTAAACTCAATACCCATATATCTCATAGATGAACTAACACTAGCAGACAGTACTGAATGCCTAATTTTAGGTTGATATGGGGGGCATCATTAATAGCCATTTGTATGGGAAAAGGAAAGAAAGATGCAAGGACTAGTTTTGAGATTGAAAGTTGGTCTAATGTACAAGCCTTGTCCAGACATCATTTAGTGCATTAAGTAGAACTAATGATTTATTTACCATGAAATTTTAAAACAATCCCTATTGTAAGTTGTTGCAAAGACAAAAGACTGGGGTGCTGACAAAGGACGCACACATCTATCAGCAGATATATTAAATACAGAAACTTGAGAACCAGGCTCTCCGAAATATTTAACTATATGAACATCCCCTGGGGCATCTGATAACTATATGATTAAAAGTAGCAGTGAAGTTCCAATCTAGGACCTAGACAAATCTAGGAGATTTCACAGCTGCCACAAGATGAAAGTGTCAAGATTTGCAGTTGGCTCCATCATAATAAGGAATGGCTTTCATGCTGCCAGCACACGAGGGTTAATTATAGAAAATTCAGAAAAGAACATAATAGAGGAAGGTCAAATGCGAGGAATTCCGGAACAAAAGACTGATTGGTTTAATATGCGTAACAAAAACGGGGATTTCAATCCAAAGATCTGATTCAAAGGAGGGTACAACCATATCATCTCCCTTATGGAGCCTTATACATAGTTTGAACATGCTTTATGGCCAACTACAGCCTATAAGACCGTGATATTGATAATCCATGAGGAAGCAACCATCATTCGGACTAGAAAACAAGAGAAGAAAAAATACGTAAAAGAAATTTCTTCATTGGTAACTGTTCGTTATGATGACAAATTCTGTCATGTCCAAAAGCAACAAGGCAGAATGAAACTAAAGATGCAACCAGACTGGTTGAACCAAGAGGCATGACCCAACCTGACTCAACCTGGGTGATCCAACCCCAACTCGATTTAGCTAAAACCTAAATCATACAGAATCACCAAAAATCCAACTGAATAGACTACGTCGCTCATATAATAGGACTCAACTCCAAAAACCATGAACAAATGCATCAGAACTGGAGAAAAAATTTTATTACAGATATCCAACCACCTCACCCCAGATGGAAATTTTTCAAGAATTAGTGTTTCTTTTCACTTTTATTCATCTCAACAAATAAGTCTCATCATTTTTTATATCAGCAAACAGTTACATAGTAACTAAAAATTATAGGTGATATATAGCTATCCTAGATATATATACCTGACAAAGCGCTCCGGGTGAAAACCAGGCACATTAGGAGGACCAATCGGGTCATAACGAGCACCAGGTGGGAGCCTAACACAAGTATTCATATCAGCTTACTTCCTCACATTATCTTAGCATAGCAAACTTTAGTTTCACAGTGAAATTTTACTCACAGATCACTGCCAGGAAAGTCAAACCCAGGGCCTCCACCAGGAGAGAAAAATCTGGGATCATTTGGTCCTAAATCACAATAGAATAAAGAGTAAGGACAGAAGGAAGCAGTATTTATATTACAAACACTTGTGAAAAAGAAAATAAATAAACATACCTACAAGCATGCTTCCACCAGAACCAGTGCCCCTATCCAAAAACACAATAAAAAATAGTTGATACCAAAAACAAACTTTTCAAAGTAGCAAATTAACAAAATGGTGATTAGAAGAGAAACAAACCTATCCGGAAATACACCGGCACCCGGACCGGGGAAAAGATCACTGCCACCAGATGCCGGAACAGGTGGATATCTAAGGCTACCAAAATAATAAAAATAAAAATAAAAAATGTATCGGTTGATTTAAATTCCAAGTCATGCTTGTACCAAATAAGCAAGTAAAAGTATAATATGAAAAAAAAATGTATAGTTGTTGCAACTAGACTCACACAACTCTGAATATGTATTGACATTTTATAACCAAAACAAAGGTGCTACCAAGCTGCGCTACATCCATGTTCAATATCAAAATTGAAGTTTTTGCACACAATGGATTTTTCATGTGTGCATTCCCAAAAGCAGACCTTGCCAAAGGACAAATACATGTCAATTTCACATTATCAACCGATTCCTTTTATATAAATTGGAAGCCAATGAAGGAAAACAATTTTTAGAAATCCATTAGAACATAAACAAATTAGGAAATGGGACTTCTCTTTCTCTATACATGGAGTTCCAAAGCACACATATATAGAAGATCCGTGGTATGGATATGATATGCATTCATTAAAGCTCGACGAGATCTTTTAAGAGACAACAGTCTCTATAGTGCCACATGTGTCTCTGCACTCGTGAAAATGGTTCGACTAATTTTTTCTAGGCTTTTCTGGAAATAGAAACTATTTTGCATTTTGGAGGACCATGAATGGACTATGACACTTTGGAATCTTCGAAATATACGTCAATTGCCTATTTGTGTTGACTGGCATGACGAGTACATAACATCAGACCTAGCATCGTTCGGAATGGAGGAGCCTATTAACAAAAATAGTCATCAAACACATCAAATCCTTTAAGTGAGGTATTTGATTCATAGGCATGCTTAGCATCTCATAAATAAAGAGAAGAAGTAGGTGGTGGATGGACTTAACATTTTGCAGTTTTCAATAGATCAGCACAAAAGAAATGGTCACATTCTAGCGATCCCTTTAGTTTAGTAAAAGACATTTTCAATAATGCGAGAGATCCTCATCAGTGGAATCTCATTGCATAACAATATTTCAGTACAGAAGCCTTATAGCTGCCTATTTTGCATCTTGGCTCAATATTTTGTACTTTCAGTAAATCTTAAGAGTTGCAAGGCATGAAATTTTTATAATGACAAACAAAATGGCTCAAGGGATTTGTTTTCGCTTACTCACCAATGATGACTTGCATTTATAATGGTTTGAAGAAAGTGTATACTAGTGTCACACCTCCTAGAAAAGAAGGGGCGCTTCCCTCCAGACCATGCCTTTGGATTACATTTCAAGTATGTTTTGACACATTGAAAAATAACACCGACTTTATGCCAATATCAGTTCTTAGAGAGGCAAAGAAACATGATCGACATCTCAAGGATGATATTACTTTTAAGAGTTGTACGCAGAAAAGAATATTTCGCTAGCTTCATAGTGGGCGTGATAATAATTTGATGTACTTCCTCTTATGTCTTGGAGGTGTATAACCCACATCGAGTCGTAAATCAATTTGGATTCTCTCAAGAATCCTACTATTTATACCTACCTGCGAAGGCAAAAAGTCATTCTCGATCTTGACCTTATGGCAATGGCTCAGGCTTTCTTATATAATAACGCAGGCTCATTTTCCACTCTATAGCAAGAAAATAAAAGGCTACAACAAGCTGTTTGCAAAAAGCATTTCATATTCTTGGATAGTTATCAATCATCTATGTGGACTACAACACATTCATTGCAGAAGAAAGCAAAGAGTAATTAATTGGAAGGGAAAAAAGAATGCATCATGAAAGATTCAATGACAAACATGAAATTTCAAAGAAGGCACAAAGATTGAAGAGTTTTGAGTTCTTTGATAGGAAAGTCCTCAGCAAATCAAAAGTACAAACTGCCAAGTACAGTAGTTGTGAATTCTTTTGATATAATCCAAAAGAATCTTCAGTGTAGCAACACCCATGACCTCAAATAAACTTAAATTACCAAATTTTTCATGGCCATATGAAGATTTCACTGCTAGTATAATCCGCAACGATGCTTCAATGTAGCCACAGCTGAAAGCCCCAATAAACTTCCAAATTAAAATTTCCATCGCCTTACGAAGAGTTCATTTTTGGTGTCATTCAATAACATAGCGGCGACTAAAGGGTAAAATAGAACCATATATGCTGGAGATGTAAAAGAATTGCGACTAAAGGGTAAAATAGAACCATATATGCTGGAGATGTAAAAGAATTGACCATACCACTAAACATTCCAAACTGGACTCGGAGAGGTTAAAGCCTTCCCAAAAAGGAAGAATTTCTAGTGCGCTTGCTTGTTACATTCTCTATTAAATTTACTTGTGATATCAAAACATTATTAAAATGATGCTATAGTATTTATTTTGCAAGTTCATATAAAATTTATTACACAAAAGATAATAGAGATAGGGTCTTATTAGACGTGCCGAAATCCATAGGTTTATCCATGAGACAAATAGTCTGTCATTAAAAAAGAATGGTGGATATGGGAAAACAGTATATTGGATGGTCACAATAAACATAATAGACCCTTTGCTTGATTATCCCTAGTATACGATGCAGCTATGCTGAAGTATTGTTCATTTACCCACAGGTTAATGATAAATTCACCTCTTTGCAACAACAAGAAGACGACAATCTTGAACAAAGGATATGTTGTGGAAATGATATGCTCACAACTTATTGTTGGAGCTATGTAAGTAATAGCTATGCAAGTATTTGAAAGAAAGTATTTCCACTATTGGGAAATGCACTTGCCGAAAAATGGGCTAGGGAATGGCACTTCTCATTCTCTGTATGTGCAGTTTTGAGGTTCATATATAGGACTTGTGGAATGAAAACATGTTCTCATTAAAGCTTAAACTGCTTTAAGAGAATGGTCTTCACAATGTCATATATGACTCACTAGTCAGTTGCATAAAAGGTCCCACTAATTTTTTAAAGACATTTAGAAAATTGGAACTATGTAACTAATACTTGCATACTTTGGGTTCTTCAGATGCCCTTACACCATGATTTTTGGGACATCTGCTCAGATCTTCTCTCTTTTTCTTTCGCTTTATAAATTTTATATGAAGTTTGCAAAAATAAATACGTTATCTTCATTCTCATAATGTTTTTCTTATTTGCAGATAAATTCAATGCAGAACACAACAAACAAGGGCACTAGAAAAGATTCCGTTAAGCTTTAATCTATCATACAATGGCTCACACGCAGTTCATATGAGTATAGGCATCACAGTGACAATGCCTCAAAGCTTATTAAAACTGGGAAAGGCGAGTCTAATTTGGAATGTTTAGCCGCATGATGAATTCTTTCGCATCTGCAGATATATGATTTTCTTTTACCCACTAGTTGCTAATAGTGAACTCTTCATAGGGCAGTAGAAATTTGGGTTGGAAGTTTATTTGAGCTCTTCATTATCACTACACTGAAGTATCTTTTGAATCACTGTTTTAAAAAACCTCCGCCTAGTCCGCTTAGGCGTACGCCTAGGCCTAGGCGGTACCTAGGCTGCCTAACTAGCGCCTAGCGCCTAGGCGGTATTTAGGATGTCCACCTAGATTTTACGAGCGTTTAGAGGAGCATTGTCTGCTTACGTGGATTGCACCCTGTAGACCTTGATTGTGATTTTATATGTCGTAGCCTACACGTCCTCCAAACTCCATTAACCTCCAAATATGAACACCTCCACTACCTCCTCCGACCTTCAGCAAAACCTCATCGACCACCACTTAAATGAAGAAAGAAAAAAAACGCCCAGAAACCGCTTAAACGCCCGCCTAGGCGACTAAGCGCTGGGCGCCAAGTCAGACGCCTAGAAGCGCCTAGCGTTTAATGTAACATTGTTTTGAATTATATCAAAAGCATAACACAACTTCAATACTCTGCATTTTTGGCTTTGTGATAGGTAGGGAACTTTCCTCAAAAAGTCTTACCTTTTGTGCCTTCAAAATTTCATATTGCCACCAAATATTTCATGATGCATTATTTTTCCTCTTCTAATTTATCACCCTTTACTTTCTCATGCAAGCCTATATAATAATTATAAATATTGCTTGCATACAAATCTTTTCTTGCTAAAGAGTGTGATAGGTGAACTCATATTTCTACATATGAGGAAGCCTAAGCGATATACTGCAATTTAAGATCTAGAACAATTATTTTTCATTATAGGCATAACTAGCAGGGCACCTGAAAAAATCCAAATTGATTTGCGACTCGATGCGGATCATACGCTTATAAGATATAAGAACAATTGCATTTATGTTATAACCGATTCTAACAAAATATTCTTTTTACATACACTGTTAAAAGTAACATCATCCTCAAGATGTTGATCGTGATTCTTAGCCCCTCTAAAAATTAACATTGCCATAAACTTAGTTTTATTCTTCAATATGTTCACAAAATACTTACAACGTAATCCAAAGACATGGTCTTTAAAGAAGCTTCAACAGCAATTATCAATCTTGGAATATTACATCTATGATAGGGAAAAGTCTACGTATAGAAACTCAAGATGTAAAAAATAAAAAAGAAAATGTCATAAACATTCCGTGTGGGTAAAATATACATTTCCTTCCCGGGAGGCACTAATACACATATTTCTCAAACCACTAAAAATGCAAGCTATCATTAGTGGGACAAGTGAAACACGAATCCCTCGAGTCATTTTGTTTTCCATTAGAGAACTTTCACACCTCACTAATCTAGGATTCACTAGTGTTACGAAAATATTGAGGCATATTGCAAAATAAGTAGTTAAAAAGACTTCTTCACTAAAAGCTTATGATGCAATGCAATTCCACTTATGAGGATCTCCCGTATACTCAAAAATGTTTTCCCCCTAAATCGAGGAGATCATTTCTTTAGTGGTACTATCTTGAAAAACTACAAAATGAAGCCATTCGCCTACTAGTATATCCTCCCCTTTATTTTGAGGCGCTAGCATACCTATAAATCAAAGACCTCTCTTAGAGAATCTAGATGTATATGATAACTAATCTTCTTCATAGGCTTCTCCATTTCAAAAAAAGCTAAGTCACAATCACGAACATGCAATTTAGATATATTTTCGAAGATCCCAAAGTGTCATAGTCCATTATGCAAATGCAAAGTGTTATTTACGTGTCTAATTTTCTTTAAAAAATTGAAAATTTTAGTCGGACCTTTTCTAAAACCGATAAGAGAAACATACAACACTATAAAATATGTTCTTTCTAAAAACATCTCGAGCATCTCAAGCTTCAACGGGTACATATTGTCTCCATTGCGCTAATCCTTTTATATATGTGTGCTTTGAAAGTCCACAACATCCACATATAGAGAGCAGTCTCACTCTCTAGCTTCTTAGCAAGTTTAGCAAGTTCATTTCCCAATAAGTTAACAAGTGAAAACAATTTCTCTTGAATCCTTAAATAGCTCTAGCAAATAAGTAGTCGACACACTACTATCTACTATATATTTCCTGTTCACGATTGTTATCTTCAATTGTTGCAAAGGGGTTAATTCATCATTAACACAAGACATCTTGGCCACAACGGCATTACATAATGGAGGCAACGAATTGTTGGAAAGCAAAGAGTTCATTATATTTATCATAACCCTCTAGTAAATGAATCTTCCATCATCATTTCGCATTTTAAATGATTAAGTCTATCTTTCTTATGGATAAGCCTATGAATCTCCTCTTTCGAAAGTTCTTAATGGCAGTATTGACGATAACGAAACAATGAAACTCTATATGCCTTCTACGTAAATTGAAACTGAAAACTAATAATAAAGCGGTTGGTAGGTAACTTGGAAAAAACATCCGGTTTTTCACACACTTAAGATGTGTGAATCCCGCTATGGGGCATTTCTTGAAGGCGAACAATATATATATAGATATCAAGATATGATATTGATATGAGGATATCACAACTGGTATGAAAGCATAGCATCTAAATTATTGAAATTGATATGAGGCAACAATTAGGCAAGTCATCTGAAAATAATAATAATAATTCTCCAATGCCATTGATTTAATTCACTACTGAGGCATGCAATAGGCCATGGAGGTCATCGTCAAGTCCATTGAGTATTTTGAGTGAGAAATGGTTTCTGAGTTGTAGAACTTGATTGAAGAAGCATGGATTGATTTGGGTCTTAACAATATGCAACCTGAATACAATTATAGTTGGTTCTAAGTTATCTTGTAAATGCTTTATGCTTGTGATATGGAGCATAAAAGAATGCAATCAGCACTGGTTTACTATGTACTAAGATTCACTTTGAAATGATTTATGAGTTGTAGAACTTGATTGAAGAAGCATGGATTGATTTGGGTCTTAACAATATGCAACCTGAATACAATTATAGTTGGTTCTAAGTTATCTTGTAAATGCTTTATGCTTGTGATATGGAGCATAAAAGAATGCAATCAGCACTGGTTTACTATGTACTAAGATTCACTTTCAATTGATGAATGAGCATTAAAATTGATTCTCAATACGGAAATTAACGTAAACAAACAAAATGTGGCATTAACGTTGATAGTCAAAATGGACATTAACGCTCACAAACAAAATTCGGCATCAACGTTGATACTTAGAACGGGTAAAAACACCCACAAAATGAATTCGACGTTAACATGGATACTCAAAGGGGGAATTAACGGCCACATGGAAAACATTGGTCATATCTTTAGAATCTTTCACTTGGATTTTTACAATACGCGAATCAATTTTAATACTTTAGAATATTACTTGAAGCAAAATAAATAAAATAAAAGTGATAAATACATTGCCGAAGTAACTGAGCAAAAGATGAAGCAGTTTTGCGTAAAAGAATTCCACCAAAGACTCGTTAAGAACCAAGAAAATATTTTCCGAGAAAGATGTTTATAGTAGCTTAACGGGAACAAGGTTTGGCAATCAAATGAATTATAGAGATATAGATCTAGAATATAAGAAATTTTACTAATATTACTCTTTTGGCTTCAAATGCGTTGTCAATCATTGGCCTCATCAATTTCAATAATCTAGAGGCCCGATTGTTGTCATATATCCATACACATTTCCATAATTTTAGCATCTTCATATTCTAAGATAATAATTTCATAATTTCAAAGCCCAATATCTCATTATTTAATAATTATCTATTCTTTTTTTACTTTCAATAGGAGTACGTACAAAAATTAAGAGTAGAATAATTATGAATGTTATGATGGTCATATGGGTATACAACAAATGATAGGATAGAAAGTGGTTCAAAGCAATTAAGAGTGGTATGATAATAAACTTAACAGAGAAGACAACCCACGATAGCACGGAATGAAAGAATAGAATTCATGTAGCTACCCCAAAAAAGTGAACTAAAGGCTTTATCATTTATATATGGTAGCATGGGAAGTTATCAGTATCTTGTAACAGAATTAAAACAAACACTCTATCCGTGTCCATTAATACTAGGCATATGGAATTAAGCACTGTTTGAAAAAATATCTGCCTAGTCCGTCTAGGCATACGCCTAGGCCTAGGCGGTACCTTGCCCGCCTAAGTAGCGCTTAACACTTAGGCGGTACCTAGGCTGCTCACCTAGATTTTGGGAGTGTTTAAGGGAACATTGTATGCCTACGTGGACTGCATTCTTTAGACTTTGATCGTGATTTTTTGTGTTGCAGCCTCCACAACCTCCAACCTCCTTCAAACTCGTTTAATCTCCAAATATGAACACATCCGCTACCTTCTCCGACCTTCAACAAAACTTCCTCGACCACCACTTAAATGAAGAAAGAAATCCTTCTAAACACCAGTCCGACACCTAACCTTTCTATAACATCAATATTTACTATCAATTATTATAATTAAAAAGTAAAAAATAAAATCCCTTAGGTTCTAGGCGACAGGCCCAACACCTATGCCTCCTAGCGTTTTTTATAACCTTATTAATTATTATTTTGGTTATTTAGCATTTAAGTATGTATGGTTTATTATGGATCTAGGATTGCTATCTATATTTTTGTAAATTTATATGAATTTAATATATATTTTATCAATTATTATAAAAAAATAGCCAAACGCCTAGGCATTAAACGCTGGCTCAAACGCCTAGTCTGTTTAGCGCCTTCTGTAACATTTGAATTAGGGTATAAAGAGTACATGTGACTCTACTGCTAGACTTATAAGGTATTGACCAGAACAGGTAGGTATTCATATAATATAGACACAAATTCTACCATGTGCCCTCTAAAGTCAACATATGTTAATATAATCATACTCAACTAACAGGCATAAGCATCTTATTCTGACCAAATAACACTGATGAGGTGTCATATCAAGAATTTTTCCTAAACTCGACCTCAAAAAGATGAGAAATAACCAAAGGAAATAACACCTTTCACCTAGGTGTGGGTTTCCATTTGGTATAATATGAAATTCAATTAGTGTTTGTGCATGGTATTAAATTGATCTCACACATGTTTACACATGTTTTCCTGTACATTTCTACACGCATGGATATAATAACATAACTGATGGGAAATTCCACTAACGTCACCAATAGGACATACGAGGCATTATGTCAAGGATATAGTTCAAGGCTCAAAAAATGAATAAGTACACCAAAGGAAAGGAAAAACGCTTTTTACTGGTACGGGGAGTGTGCAATGGCAATGGGCTCCATTGGCCACATAAACAACATTGTTTCATACACATAAACATAATATTACCCATATGTCTGCATATATAGATGTACTGTATAGTCTATACAGCATAACTAATGCATATATAGGTTCTTTCATGCAACAATATAATAAAGAAGACACATTATATCAACTATTATTTTTAGTAATGGAATAAAAGAGATGAAAAAAATCAAATGGTGTGAAAACTATATAGACGGAGTAAACATATATTGGCCTCTTAACCAAAATACCACAGATGCATACAGCTATGTTTGAATCATATACAACTGCTACTTTACTACCCAAGTTTTATCCAGCACAGCAAATAATATGCAAACATGGAGGACAAAAATGAGGGCAACAAATAAGAAAGAAAAGAAGTTGCAGAGGAATAACATACACCGGAGGAGGCTGTTGACGCTCAACAGGAAACATGTGAACAGGTTCACGTCTAGTGTTATCGCCAGATCCATTGCCACTGCCAAAAAAAAGAAATTAGATTCAAAAAAAGGAAGAAATAATGAAATCAAATTTTGATTCATAGACCTAGTCTTCACAACACAGTACACACACCTTTTCTCTTTCTGTATATATTTAAAATATTGGTTTCATGATTTGTTGTAAACCAATAAGTCTAATAACTCAGCTTTGGACATCTCATTTCCAAATGATAAAGACGGATGCACTTTTAAGTACTAATGCCTGCATATTTGGACACACATTTTTTCTCTTTCTGTATATATTTAAAATACTGGTTTCATGATTTGTTGTAAACCAATAAGTCTAATAACTCAGCTTTGGACATCTCATTTCCAAATGATAAAAATGGATGCACTTTTAAGTACTAATGCCTGCATATTTGGACACAGACCTGGGTGGGCAATGTTGATACCTATTTATCATTGGTTGGACACCTAAAGCTTCAAAATATTTTGTTCATGGCATGACTGACCAGTAAAAAAAAGAACTCAGCATTGTCAACATTCTGAACATGAAGACATCAGCCCTTCATAAATGGAAGAAAGAACTTGTACACATCAAAAGTAACATTTCAAATTTGAACCTAACAGAAATCAATAAACCATGCAAATATAGTGAAATCGCAGCACAATAAAGTAGTTAGGTAATTAGGCCATAGTCTAAAGCAAGTTAACGTATCTAACTCCTGACACCCATGAAACTCGAGGACACCATAGCCATGCCATCTGCAAGATATATTTTCCCCATATCATACTAAAACAATTGGTGACTAATTTTTTGACTCCACACTTACGGTCTTACCAATCATTAGCATATATCTCATATAGCAAGCCAGAATAAGAACTAGCAAAAAAACTCTGATTGAGCTAGTGTGTAAAGTTATTAGTCTTGTTTAATGTGAAGAAGGAAACAGATGATCAAAGAGCATAACATCGAAGATTCTACTAGACATCCACAAAGTCTAAGGCCAAATCTTGCTAGTGCTCTAAACCACTTAAATACACAGCATAAAGTTACAGATTCAGATCCTCTCCACTATAAAGAAAAGTAGTGGAGAGACCACTGCAATTTTACGACCATTGATTTTTTTAATGGGTAGTTGTGATTTGCATTTGAGTTTAAATTAGGAAAATAGTGCAATTCATGGGGATACGGTGAGTGCTAGATATACAATGAATCATAACTACACGCTTAACAAATTAATGGATGTGGTATTGCAGTAGTGGAGAGGATCCAAGTCCTAAAGTTACTCAGCAAGTGTAACACTTCGAATCTACAATTTCTTTCAGAATTACAGAGCATAAATAATTTGTTTTGCAGGAAAATTTTTACAAACTGGCCTAACAGAAGAAGAATCTTTTGTACAACATACCTACTCCCAGCTGAAGAACTCTCAGTCTTCGACTCCACTTTGTTCAAAATATTCGCATTTAAGTTCTCAACAAGTCGCGGCAAATTTTTATACATCTCCCCATAGTTAACCTTATTGTCTCCTTCTACCAAGTGTTCATTCATACTGGAAAAATTAGAAATTTAAAGCAATTAGTAAACCAAGTATACTTCACGGAAAAATGAATGTATATTTCTCGGAAAAATGAATGAAATATGACACAAAACACAGCGTAACAAAAGCATCCATACTTGATTTGTACATGAAATGGCTCCTTCTTATCTTCTCGCAGATTCAACACGTCAACAACAAGAGCATCTCCAATAGCCAAACATTTAACCAAAATGGGTATCTTCTGACCCTTGTCAGATTTCAAGTATACGAAGGCATAGCTGTCTTCAAATTCGTTCCAGCCTTCAATTCCCACTTCATCTCCTTCTAAATTTAATAAAAACCAATCAATATAGTTCAAGTCCAAATGCAATTATAGGTTGACTCCAATCAAATATCAAATCCCCAAAATTACAGGTTTTACAATATCAAAATTCAACCTTTTCAAACTTTCAATCAATAAAACCAAAATAATTAAGGATCAGAGAGTTAGAGAGAGATTGAAATCACCAGTTGGGGGATTCTCAGAGAAAGCGCTGGGTCCCGTGGAGATGAGTGAGTAGCCAGCGGCCAAGAACGAAGCGTGCACAGCGAATGCCATCCTGTCGCTAGGGTTTCTGAAATTAGGGCGCGAAGCCCGAATCACCGCCATCACTGAGTTATCCGTCGCCATTGAGATTTCTCTGAATCAAATTCTCGAGTACGGGATTCTGTTCTTTGTCGAATTTTTTTTTCTTCTTTAAAGGGTTTTTGAGTCCTTTTATAGATTCTTAAAAAGCCTTTTTCGTGATACTTCTGGTAGAGAACCGCTTAAAATGACAAATTTTGCACGCAATACCCTAGGGCTAGGCATATTCGGTTCGGATCGGTTTTAAGCTCAATCCGCATCCAATCCGAATTTTACGAATTCTCAAAACTCTCATCCAGATCCAGATTTTTTTTCCCTTCATCCGAATATTCGGCCCAACCGAAATTCGGATCGGTTCGGATCGGTTTCGGTTTTGGACCGAATTAATACTATTTCACAAAAATCTGCCCACACCTGAGATCATTGCCTATTAATTTCTGATGAAGTATCATTATTTGTCCATTTTGTCTACTTAACTTTTTCCCCCAAACAATGAAATGTGGAGCTTGTTTGAAGTAACACCATTGCCACAGCTAACAAAAAACCGAAATCAGTGAAATGAGCGCAAACCATATCAACAAGTACATATGGTTACGTAACATTCAAATATTAATTAACTATAATCAAAAGGTTATCTTTCATTTCTTGGAAAACAACTTAACATGCCTCTAGTAGAATTTGAAAGCTTATATGAGGTTTCACCGATTTTAATGCGGGCATATACGCTAGCAGGCCCAATGAAAAAGGAACTATACAATATAAACATGTATGTAAACATAACAATCAAGTTACCGAGCAATTATATAGCTTAATGTTCAAGTGATGACTCACTAATAAGAAAGCTATTCCATCCGACTTCGTCCGAACCAAAAGTCCTTTCCATTTTGACCGAATTCCGAACGATGAAGTCCATCTCATTTTGAGCAATATGAATATCCGACAAAGAACAAATTAGAAAATTCGGTTCGGTTTTTTTTCGGGCGGTTCAGGGGTTCAAACCGGATCCAAACCGGTTTAATTCGGTTCGGACGGTTTAGAGTCTTCTTCTCATCCATTTAATCCGGTTCGGTTAACCGGCCCGCTTTTTCGGGCGGTTTTTTCGGTTGAACCGGTTTTTTTCGGTTTTTGCCCACCCCTACAATACCCCTTGAGAATTAAGGATTAGTACATAAGTATAGCTTTTTCTTTCTTTCTTTCTTTCTTTTTCCTTTTCTTTTTTTTCTTTTTCTTTCTTTTTTTCTTTTTTTTTTCTAAAGAGCACGTAAATACCCTATTGTTTCACCACCTATACACTAAAATACCTTACTTTATAAAAATTAGGACAATCTTAAATTGTCCACCGTTAAAATATGATAAAACACCGTTAAATAAATCCGTTATAACAAAAATATCCATCTATAAAACTTTAATAAAAAGATAGAGTGTGGGTGATAATCACATTTTTATTATAATTTTATACCATCGTTATCTATTTTACATGAATAAATATATCACTAATAATTATTGTTATCTTTAATTGCAGGTTAATGAAGAAATAATGAATAAAAGCACAAAAAAGACTCAAACTTCCTCATTTTGTAACCTTTTATAAAAGCCGGAGAAAATCAAAAATCTAATATGAAGAGAAATTATATTCAAGATAGTTGGCCGCAAAGAAACGACGATATCTCCCAAACCGGAAGGCAGAATTTAACATATAATATATGAAAATCGCCTATCTCGACGAGACGAAGCTAAGCGTGAAGTCAGAATTTTGATAGGAGCATCTATGGTGGCATCAATGTCAGCATCGATGCCCCTATTAATGCCTCCGTTCTGTTACAATCCTATGGCTGAAATTCAAGGGTTTTAGATAAGAATTCGATCCAATGTCTCACATTCATTGATGTTTACTATAAATAGGGGTAGTGAGTGAGGGGTTAGAGATGTGAAAAATTTTGTAACTCTATTTGGAGATGAGAGTTACTCTTAATTGAGAAGACCTTCCAAAAATTGTAACTTTTTGTTACAATCAATAAAAGAATTTTTTACCACTTTAAATTTTATTCTCTTTGTTTGATGATGATGATGGAGATGAAGATCAATTTGAAGATTTGCTTTTATTTTATTTTTATCTTTTATTTTTTATTTCTTTTTAGTAATTTCTTTCTTATTGCTTGTTAGTTTAGATTTACATTCATGTCTTGTAGACTAGATTATTTTCTTATCTTTATTTTATGCATTTTTAATTTGTAGAGTAGATTTATTTTCTTGCATTTTTATTTCTTTTGCAATTTAGCTAGATTTATTTCTTGTTCATAGTATAAAGTTCCTTGTTCTTATTTCTTTTCTTTGTAATTAGTTCTTATTCTTTTCATTTCATTCCTTATTTTTATTTCTTAAGATATGGAACTAATTCGTGTAGAAATCTTCGAATTACATGAAATTAGCTTTATTTCCTTTATATTGTATGAATTATTCTCTTATGCTTAAAATAATCATATATAGGATAATCAACTAGAGAACTAATTGGTAGAAGAAGAATTTGATAATCTATGCTTATCTTGAGTGGTTTGATAGGTTATGCTTAGTGTAAAACCCCGAAATTTTTATAAGGAATATGTGTGAATTATTAGTAATAAATAACTCCTTTGTGATAAATAATCATATATATATTAGATGAATGTGACTATCAGTGTTTGGGAACCCAACAAGTGTTTATATGTGAGAGAAATTGAGTGGTTTGAGCATCATGTGGTAAATCAATCTAGGCTGCCATTTTTTCTTCTGAGCGGTCGACCGTAGTGGACGACGGTTGACGCCAATCAGCTCGCCCTCAGAAATCTTTTTCCTGTTATGCGGTAGACGCACTGGTGCGCGCGCGGTAGACGCCAACAGGCGCAGGAGTTTTCTGGGTTCGGGTCTAAACGGGTTTCAGGCCGGGTTGTGGCTTAGTATATATGCTAATGAACCCAAGAGAGCCTCTTTTCATCTGGAATCAGAAACCCTAGCCCCCCTCTCTCCCCTTAAACCCTAGTTCTCACTTCTTAGTGATTTGGGAGGAGCTTTGAAGGGTTTTTCAGCAGATTTTTGGTGGATTCAGCGAGAGGGATCATCTTCCTTCAGATCTAGGGCTTTGTTCTCATCAGAGGCGAGTAATATCTCGCCCAACTTCTTCCCTTTTTATGTTTCATGTTTTATTTTGGAGTTTAATCCGGTTTTATTGAGCCAAAATCGTATTTTTTTGTAGATACAATAGATCCTTATGACATATGACATAATAATCAAATGTTTCAGATTTTAAAAGCACACCAACGAACTGTATTAAAGAGATCTAGATCTGAAAATGGTTTTAAAAAGAGTAAATTTCTGTTTTTATTGAATAAACAATATTTAAACCATGTTTATATATGTTTGGGATCTTGATGATAGATTTTAAATGTCTAAATTCGTTGTCTTCCGTTCTATGACTTTGTATAAATGTTAGATTTACATTAATAGAGAAATCATCGAGTTTGATTATGATTTGAAGCCGATAGAAACCCTAACTGGGCTTCTGTCTGCTTCGCGGTCGACCACGGTGGACGCGGCGGTCGACCGCTCTGAGATGTTTCCAGCAGAAAAGTTTCTGCTCTTTGAGCGGTCGATCGGCATGACCTCAGCGATCGACCGCCGCTCAGTTTTGAGCCCAGTAAATCTCGGCTCTATGAGCGGTCGACCGGAGTGCGCCGCACAGTTTTGTGCCTGTTGACTTTTTGTTGACCTTTTCGCGTGTTCGAGAGATCACCTCGTTTATCTCCCACTAGTTTGTGATGTTAGTGACTTATCTACACATGGGGTTTGACTTTTGACACAAATTTAGACCCGCACATCGAAACACGTGCAAGATTAGGATATGTATATCTTTCCTCATATACTAGTGACAATTTCGCCTCTTTGTTCATAGTCCATGTGTTGGGCATACATTATTATTAATCCACGTGTTGGATACTTATCATCTCAGTCCATGTGTTGGACATGTATCTTATTCAGTCCATGTGTTGGACAAGCATTACCTTTAGTCCATGTGTTGGACATTTTTGCTAAACCTTGAGCATGTTTCACATTTGAGTTTTGAGCACGACATATTGATAAAGTTTGGACATGATATCTACCTAGGCTGGGCATAACACTTATTGTAACTTTGCACCTTTGACATAACTGTGATTATTGGTAGAGATGGGATTGTTGTCTTTTCTTTATTGTTCATGTATTAGACTTCGGGTTTGGTACTTAGGGATTTTTAATTTGAGATACAAGGTATATACATGAGGGTTTCCCTGTTTGGATTATTTCGCTCGACGTACCTATGCTCGTGTTGAAATTTTCTAAGTACTAAAACCCATTATTCTTAGGAAAATTGATTATATATATATATATATATATATATTGTGATAACTGTATTTTCTTATACAACGAGCCCTCTCCCTTGGGGTTGGTTGTGATGTTGCTCGCTAGCGCTTTGACGCTTGTTGTCCCTTCCCCTTTCAGGTAACGAACCAGGAGCCCGGAGAGTCGCAGGTTGATGGCGACACACCTTAGTGTTCAGCTATCTATTCTAGATATGCTTTATTGTGGAGCTCCACTGTAGTTTTTGTTAGACATTCAAGGACTATTTTGTAGGTGTTGTAAAGGTTGTATGCCTTATTTCTTTTACTCAGACATTTTATATTCGAGACTTGTTGAGAACTCCAGTTTATCTACTTCAGCCATTGACTATGTATTTCTGTATGCTGGATGATGAGATATCTATGTGTTGTTATCGTTTCATCAGTTATCACCTTTATTATCTTTTACTTGCTTTTGTACCTACACCCGTTGTTGACTCTACTAGAGAGATGTTAATTGTGATGGTGAAACATGTTATTGCATGGTGTGGTGCATGGCAGGTTTGACATTCTTTGTTTCACTTTGGACTACAGCCTTGTGTGAACTCAGGGGCGTCGCAGTTGGTATCAGAGCTCTAGTTCCAGTATCCTTAGGATCATCTTGTGTCGAATCGTGGAGCTAGGATAGAGTTTCTCAGGATTCATGTATAGAATCTGTAAGGAGTTCCTAGTATGAGTGAGGACGATATATGCGTATATCTCAAAATTTGAGAATTTTTTTATGATATCTATTTTGTGTAAATTTAAAGT